AAAATTTGAAGGTGCACCTTACCTCTACACCTATGGATGCATCCGTATGCCAACTGCACCCTTAAAACATTTTGATATCCATTTCTTTTCTCTTGTTTTTTTTTGGAAGGGGGGGGGGATAAATTTAAAATTGTAAAATTTGAGCTTGTGCTCTCAGTTTGCTTAAAAGACCCTTTGTTGCTCTTACTTGTGTCAAGGCTAGAAGGTGGAACTAAAGACACGATCAGACACACCAGACATCAGCAACCTTCAGAAATGTGCAGATTTTGTACATGCATTATGCTCGGGTTCGATTTACCTGATGCCATTGCCCTTTTGAGGCTTGATGATCTCTATGTTGATTCTTTTGAGATTAAAGATGTCAAGACTTTGCGAGGTGAGCACCTTTCTAGGGCAATTGGAAGGCTCTCTGGTAAAGGTGGCAAGACCAAGTTTGCAAGTGAGAATTCGACTCAAACAAGGATTGTTATAGCTGACACAAAGATCCACATATTAGGTTCATTCTTGAACATTAAAGTTGCTAGGGATTCTCTTTGCAGTCTCATCTTAGGATCACCTGCAGGTAAGGTTTATTCTAAGCTGAGAGCTGTCAGCGCTAGAATGGCCGAGAAGTGTTGACATTCATATATCTGTTGTTCGATTTATTCGAGTTCGTTTGCTAACCCTCAAAAAAGAGGAAAGGTTTTACTATTTCTTCTTATGATTCATGCGGTGCGACGATTTTGACTTTGAATTTTGGTATTTAATGAGAAAAGGGGGAAAACGGGGAAAAAGTGGTGGTAGTTTCTTATGATGCTTATATCAGTTTTTTGCTTACTGAATATGAGTTTGCTCATTGAGTGCGTATCAGTTTGTTCTGTGTATTTATTTATTTTGTTTGCTGCTAACGAATTTGCATGGAGACCCGTGCTCTACTATTTTGAAATTCGCTTATTCTATAATTGAAAATTGCTTGTTTTGGACCGGACTCCAATTTCTAGAGGTGAATTGGAGAAGATCGTTTCCCCTACCCCCAATGGAATTTTATTCATCACCACCAAAAATGGGTACTCCTAATGGAATTTTATTCATCACCACCAAAAATGGGTACTCCTAATGGAATTTTATTCATCACCACCACCAAAAATGGGTACTCCTTATGGCACGCATACACCTTTCAAATTTTGGCTCGCCACTGGCGGTTTTGTGTGGAAATTTGACCGCACTGCAGTAGACATTTTTTCACACTATCCAAAAAAAATTGGATGGTGATGAGCCCATAGGTGAAAACGCTGTCCATTTTTGCCTATGAGGGTTGCGTATTGTTTTCTGT